CACACACACACACACACACCCTGCCCCACATGAGCCATGGATCTGGAAAGGTCCTGACTGAATGCAGAGCGGGCTGCAGCCGCTCGCCGCCACAATGGCCCCATTGTGGGCTGCCTGCCTATGAAATACACCTTCCATGTGAGAGCATTTGTTAACCTGGGCTGAGATTAATGACGTCCCGCTCTCATAAAGGAGAGACGGTTTCCTGCGTGGCTGTGACACAGCTTTGATTACAGCCGAGTGTGTGCGCAGCGTCACAGTGCTGCGTCTGCTCCACCACTACGTGACCCATCACATCGAAATGAGGATTAAGTCAAATTTGGTCAAAATAACCTAATATCATTTTAAGATTCCTGGCTTTAAAAGCTACATTTTGATACCTGGATCATTGTGATATCATAAACTTATCCAGAGATATGACTTAATCTGTCTTGTTGGTTATGATGATACATTACTGTTTGGTCTGAATCCTAATTTTATGCATATTTATTCAGTCATTTTTGATGTTAATATAAAGAGGAAACCTGAAATAGTATTTTTACATTAAGATTTCCCACTTGGAAAGAAACAATTTACTAGCTTACAGGGAAAAATTCAAACTATTAGGGCGTTTTTCCTCAAAATTAGGGTTTTTGTTGCTACTGCTAAAAAAAGGCTTCAAAAATGTTTTTTAGGATTATATTTCAGACAGTTCATTCAAATGATACATTGATAAGGCATTCAATCATTATATTTAGACAAAATGCAATTGTTGCCCACATTTAAATCTAAACCCTATATTTGCACATCTCTACGTCTCACTTTTGGACTTCATCCTGGTTGTGATGTGACGGGTCACATATATGAGCCGCTGTGTGCTGACATCAGACGGCGCTCACAGCCCGGCCTCGCCTCGACACTTACCATCTGGAGGGTGTCGCCGTAGCAACAGAGTAGCGATGTCTTGAGGCTAGCGTGGAGGGGAAGTGAAACGCCGTCACAGAAACAGAAGTGGAAGAAGAAGAAAAGATGGGAACGAGGCGCCGGTCGTGGGAAAGGAGGAACAGATTTCAACTTTCAGATGGGAGGGGAGTGAAGCATCAAGAAATTCCTTCTTTAATTAAAACATCTGCGGCTCAATGACACATAAAAAAACAGAGGCGCTGCATCAAATGGACAAAACACTGGTAACCTTGGTAACAGGAACATTTAACGACCCCCCCCCCC